CACATCAGTCTAGGTTGGAGCGCTTTCGGCAGACATTATGTATACAAAGAAAAGTCTTTAACTAGTGCGTCCTCCTAGTTATGACCTATGCATCAGAACCATGGACAGCAACCAAATTACTGGAGAGGAACCTAATAAATGCCCAGAGAGGGATGGAGAGGTTGCGGATGAGGGCGACGTGGATTAGGGAACAGACAAAAGTAGAAGACATACTTTAAAAAAGGGCACTTGGCAGGTCATATATGTCGGAGACAGGACGACAGCTGGAATGAACTGGGCTATATATTACATAAAGAAGCCTGGGACCAGACCAGTGACAAGATTGCGTAACAAAATTTAGGGGCCAAGACTGGAAACATAAAACTCTAGACAAAAGTTGGAAGGAGGCCTACGTCCTGCAGTAGATTGATTCAGGCTGATGAAGATGACATATATTATATATGTGTGTGTATATATATGTACATCTGTGTGTGTAAACATTCATATATAAATTTGCATATATATGTATACACATATATAGGTATACATACATATATAAATATGTATGTATACCTATATATGTGTATACATATGTATGCAAATATATATACATAACACACACATATGCATATGTATATATATACTTATTTATGCACATATATGTATATGTGTTTATACATACATAAATTTACACATACATATATGTATATATACATTTATATATATATACATATATATGTATATCTGTATCAATATATATATACATATATATGTATATCTATATATATGTATATATATATTCTTTAGAGAAACATCAAGAAGCGACTAGAAACAGGTGTGTTTTACGACTGACACGCCCCTGGCCTGGGACTCACCTCAGGGACACGCCAGCAACTGAAGAGAGGTGGGTTTCAACGACTGCTGGAACGACTGCCTGGCAAGCTCACGGCGTAGAGGCCTCTCGAGAAACTGCCTTTATACTTCTGTCTCCTTGCAAAAGCTTGGTTAATCCCATTAGCCTAAACGCTCTGAAGAAAGCAGAGTACACTTTGTATGTTCTTTCTTTCTCTTTATGTCTATCTATCTCTATCTCTCTCTTGACTCTTTGACTATAGGTTATACTTAAGGAGATCAAGTGCGATAAAAAGATATCTTAACGCAAGGCTCCGACTTACGATTTGTTATTATGGTTATCAGTTTGACTAAATTTGTATGTGTGCCTGAGGCTATATGTTTATAAATGAGATATGTTTTTTAATGTTTGTGTGTATATATACATACATGTATGTATATGCATGTATGTCCATATATACGTATATATTATATACAAATATATATAATACATAAACATATGTATATGTATAAATACATACAGTCTGAATAGGAAAGGTGGAGGAGTATAAGAAGGAGAGAAGAGAAGCAACGCGGTAACTACAGGGCAGCTGAGAACAGGTCAGGTCGAAGGGTCATATATATAAATATATATATATATATATATATATATATATATATATATATATATATATATATATGTATGTATATGTGCATATATGTATGTATGTATATGTACATATATGTATGTATGTATGTATATGTACATATATGTATGTATGTATGTATATGTACATATATGTATGTATGTATATGTACATATATGTATGTATGTATGTATATGTACATATATGTATGTATGTATGTATATGTACATATATGTATGTATGTATGTATATGTACATATATGTATGTATATGTACATATATGTATATATGTATATATACATATATGTATGTATGTGTATATATGTACATATATGTATGTTAAACAACGACATCATCACAAAAAGGCAAACAGTCATTTAAACCCAAGAGCTATACAACGCTAAACCAACAAAAAAGAACAAGGAAACATACAACAAAGCTCTAGAAGACCTAAAACAAAGCTATGATACCTTCGAAAAAGAATTTATTAGCAATAAAATCACTGAAATTAACTCGGCACACATACAGAAAAAAACAAAGTTAGCCTGGACGGTCGTTAACGAGGTATCAGGCCGCAAAAATCCAAAACTAGCTGACCATCTGGAGAAAATGCCACAGAGAGAATAAAACTATGGGAAGAATACTTCAAGTCATTGCTAGGCCAACCAGCAATAAAACCAGAAAATGACGAAGACATAGCCACTATCATACTTGGGACTCTTCCTATTCCAACTCATAATTTTACAGCAGATGAACTTACACTAGCCATAAAAGAATCATCACTAGGTAAAGCAACTGGACTTGACAACATTCCAGTCGAAGTTTGGAAAAGTAACTGCCTGCAAGATGAACTACTTACTGTGTGCAACAAAACCTTTAACACCGGAACCTGCCCAACTATATGGCGTAAAGCTGCCATTGTACCAATACCAAAGAAAGGAGATTTGACCAACAGACAAAACTACAGAGGCATAAGCCTGATCCCAGTGGCAGTAAAAATATATAATAAGATGCTTCTGAATCGCCTCAAACCTCAACTTGAAAAAATCTTACGGACAAATCAAAATGGAAGATCAACAACTGGACAAATCCTTGCCTTAAGAAGAATCATAGAGGAAGTCAAGATTAATAACATACCAGCTGTCCTAGACTTTATTGACTTCCGAAAAGCCTTTGATTCGATAAGCAGAGAAAAACTTTTCAAAATTTTAGCTTCATACGGCATCCCAAAACAGATCATCAAAGCAGCATACATAGACACTATGGATCAAGTTATAACAGAAGACGGCAATTCTGACTTTTTTACCATCGAGGCGGGAGTTCTCCAAGGAGACACACTAGCGCCCTATCTGTTTATCATCATGGACGACTACATCATGCGCACAGCCACCAAAGACGCGGATCATCTGGGAATCACCATCAATGACAGACGAAGTCGAAGACACCCTGCCACCTACCTAACCGACACCGACTTCGCGGATGATATCGCACTCCTATTCAACACCATCGACGATGCCCAAAGACTCCTTACACTGGTTGTAGATGCAGGAAGACAAATTGGACTCAACATCAATGAAGATAAGACTGAATATATGATGTAAAACATCCCGGAAAGCAACCATCTGACAGCAAACGGCAAAGAGATTAAAAAAGTACAAGACTTCAAATATCTAGGATCTTGGATCGACGACTCGCAGAAAGATCTTAAGATAAGGAAAGCACGGGCTTGGACCGCTGCACGTAAAATGGATAACATCTGGAGGTCCAACCTACCGCAAAAACTTAAAATCTCACTATTTAGAGCAACCGTTGAAAGCATATTATTATACGGACCCGAAACCCGAATTGGACCACCACAGACAAGATGAACACTGAGATCGACGGCACCTACACCAGACTACTACGACATATCCTCAATATTAATTGGAGGCAACATGTTAGTAATGCAGAGCTCTATGGACCACTGCAAAGGGCCTCGGAAATCGTCTGAACACGGAGATTGAAACTGGCCGGACACTGCTGGCGGAGCGAGGAGGTGGCGTCAAAGATCATCCTATGGAAGCCCACACAAGGACATAGGTCCCAAGGAGGCACTAGACGTAGGTACACTGACGTCAATGACGGCAATGAGTGACCGGAACTTGTGGCGCGTGTACACCCTGGATTCGGGTGCGCCCGACTGATGATGATGATATATGTATGTATGTATATGTATATATATGTATGTATATATAGGGTGGACTCCCATACCCTTTGGCCATGCACGGATTGAATTTCAAGGCTATGGTCAGGCATCACTATCGTATCTAAGTAAGACTAACCCAAAATGTGCAAATCCGTGTACGTGCACATGTGTGTGCTTACTTTCATGTGTGTATAAACGCACACACACACAATGCATGTCTGTATAGATGCATGCACGCACGCACACGTGCAAACACACAGATTTTTGGGTTAGTCTTACCTATATACAATAGTGATGCCTTACTGCTGCTTTGAAGTTCAGTCCATGTCTTGTCAAAAGCTATGGAAGTTCACCCTATACAAAACAACTGCTGCCTTGTAGTTCTATCCGTGCATGGCCAAAGGCTATGGCTGTACAAAACAATCCAACGCCTTGAGGTATATATAAGATGAAAATCCAGAGACCCGAGGGCAATTCAATCCTTTGGATCCATCAGCCGCGTGGAGAGAGGGAGCATGCTACATGGGCAACAGCTTGCATTCCACATTCTTTCGCCCAGGCATGGTGGCCGTCGACATATATATATGTCGACGGCCACCTTCAGTCGATGTCGACTATGGTATTAATGTCTCTAATATATATATATATATATATATATATATATATATATATATATATATATATATACATAAATATATGTATATGCACTCATAAGTATGTGTATGTATATGTATATATTATATGTGTGTGTGGGCATATATCTATGTTTGTATATGTATATACATACACATGTGGAAATATGCATGTAAGTGTATATCTCATATATATTTGTAAATATATAAGTATGTATATGCATATATACAAATATATGAATGGTAAAACACCCTTCTGTGTTGGTACTATGGTAGAAAAACCCACAATGCAAAAACTAGATTTAATGAATATGAGACAACAGCTTTGAAATGCACCTAGACTCCATTTTCAGATCTACTTATGTATATTATATATACATATATATATATATATATATATATATATATATATATATATATATATATATTTGTGGGTGGGTGTTTACACTTATACATATGTGAATTTTATGTGTAAATGAAAGATCTTTCTCAGTTGCAAGGTTTATTTCAGTCGGAGGGAAAGTTAACTACCGTCTAAGGTACACCGTACGACAATACAATCGAATATGACGTTGGCGGCGTTTGAATCCGAGATCTGAAAAAGAACTCCTGTCATCATCAGAGATTCTGTCCGACTTCATGAGGCACATAAATCAACATGAACTGCAAAGCCTCTCATGTTTCCGACTGACTAAGTCTTCCTTGTGTTCGAGTAGATCGAGGCTCTTAAGCATCCTCCTTGGCTTCCTTTGTCTCGATGGACTTGGTGTCGGACTGGGAGGAGGAAGTCTCGGTGTTCTCGTGAATGCAGAACCAAGGCATCTGCTTCTGGAGGGCCTGCGAGGGAGGGAGGTACGGAGTTCCGGTTAGCAGTGCTTTCGAAAACGAAATCTATTTCAAGTAGTATCTCTATGAAGAGTTATTCAAGAGAGCCTAGGGTGGTATCAGGGTTGCACATCACTTGCTTCGTATCTCAGTTGTATTTTGATAAGATGAGAAAATATTCACTTTTTGAGTGTAGTGGTTATGAAAACGTTTATTTTGGATTGGTAGGGTACCACAGCATCCATTCCGAATTTGTGACTAGCAGCTATTGCATTGACCCTGTTTCATTATTACATATAACATTGTAAGCTTCAAAATACTGGTTTTATTAAGGGATTTACCACTCTGAACTGAATCCAGCATATATATATATCCCACTATTGACTGATTATATTCTCACTCACCAGTCTGAACTTAGGATGGTTGATGGCATAGACGATGGGGTTGTAGCAGGCAGAAGACTTTGCCAGAAGGGCGGGCAGCATGGTCACGAGAGGTGTGATGGAGCCCTGGTCGAAGAACAACCCCTGGAGAGAAAAAAACATGTTCAGCGAATGTCGTACTTTGCAAGTGATAAAGCGTCAGAAGCAACATGATGGAAGTGAGAGAGTGCACTAACCTGGACGACGATAGCGGCATAGGGCGTCCAGCAGACCACCCACAGAGCCACGTTGGTGCAGGCGACCTTGGCGATGCGCACCTCGGCGGACTGTGTCTGGGCATCCTGTCATGGGCAGTGAAGGGATTCAGTGAAGTTATTGGTATTTCAGTTGTTTTATACATGTAAAATAGGAATATGAGGTTCACTGGCCTAGGAAGTGGAAGAAGGTTTACCTGGTTTGACCTGAGGTTGGACACGTTCATCTTCTTGGCCTGCTCCCTCATGGCGGCCTCGTGGGCGAAGATGGCCTTCACGATGGAAATGTAAGAGAAGACGATGGTGAAGAGAGGCACGCAGAAGTCGAAGACGAAGATGCTGATTCCGTAGGATCGGAGGTTGTCATCGCGGGTGAGGTAATCGAAGGAGCAGGAGTCCAAGATACCTGTGTGAAATGGCAGTGAGTATTTTCCTTTGTGTCCGAAAGGATTTAGGAGAAGGTTGCATGAGATCCAAGCAAGTGTGCGGCCAGCGCGAATCACTTACCCTCAGGAATGTACTTTCCCCAGCCGAAGAAGGGTGGCAGCGACCATGCGATGGCGTAGATCCAGGAGAAGAGGACGAAGAGGGTGGCCCTTCCGGAGGTCAAGGGCGTTCCGCTCACGCCCTTTACGATCACGTTGTACCGGTCATAGGAGATGAAGGACAGCGTCCAGATGGATGCGATGCCGGTGATAGCTCCTGCGGGAGAGTTCAGGAATTGAGGACCAGTTCATGTTCTAGTCAAAAGGAACTGATTCCTTGAACTGAATTTCACGTTTGCTTGTAGTTCAAGCTTAATGTCAATAGCATCAGCAAAAGCAATGTCTGTGTTTCCCTTGCAGACAGACTTACCGAAGAAAGCATAGAGTTCGCAGAAGGTCTCACTGAACATCCACACTCCGCCACTGAAGCAGTTGTAGGTGAAGAATGGAAACTGCGTCATCAGCATGAGGAAGTCACTGATGGCCAGGTTGAGGACCAGCTGATTGGATGGTGTTCGCAGGAACTTGTTCTTCAGGTAAAGCAGAATCACCAACCCATTGCCTGTTCAGAAAGTAGCTTTCAGTAATATCTGATTGCTTCATCAGCATCATAATGTGAGTATGTAAGAGGTTAACACTTTTGTTAAAAAGGACAAAAGGACAGTAGTGGCATCCTAGAGAGAGGCACTAACCAAAGAATGAGAGACAGCCCAAGATGATGTAGATGCAACCAAGCACATAGTGCCACATGGGGTTGACCGGAGGGTAGTTGTTCCAGTGAGGGTGGATCATGTGCCGGATGTTCTCTGGCACTAAGTCCACCACGGTGACACCCTCAGGGTACCCGAAGGTTACCTGAGCGGTGTAGGCCTCTGCGTGAGGGCCGGAAGCGTTGACGAACACCATCTTCTCAGCTCTGAAAAAATGTTATTAAGTACATTTAGTTAGATGGAATGCATTTATCTGAAGCTTAAATTAACTGATATGTTTTGTTATTACAATTGCTATTATCATGACCCATGAATTCAATACTAAAAGGTTTATTTTACTGTACACTGGTAAGTTTACATGAATTATTACATATAGGTATGTATGTATATATATATACTGCCGCAGTGGCCCACTTGATAGAGCACTGGACTCCGACCCTCGTGGTCCCAGGTTCAATTCCCCTCCAAGGCAGTTAAAAAAATGTCTGCGCTCCGACTATTGGCTCGATTCCAGCATCGTCTTAAATCCTACTCCCCCCCTCATCACCCGCCTCCTTCCCTCAACCCCTCTACTGCAACCCAACAATTTATGCACAATACAGTACATGGGCTCATTATAATGGAGTGCGTATATATATATATATATATATATATATATATATATATATATATATATACATATACACACATATATATGCACGTACAGGTGTATATCTATATATGTGGGTAAACACTAATGTGTACTCATAAACATTTGTGCGCATACACATGTGCGAAAGCATATGAATGGCAATATATATGTGTGTATGTATAGTCATAAGTACGTGTACGAGATATGCGCGCATGTGTGTGTTTGCATATATGTGGGTGTGTATACACATTTATATGCACATATGATGTGCATATATATGTGTATGCATGTGCATGTGTGTAGTAGGAATATGTATGCATATCACAGGAGCAT